ATGTTCGTAAGTTTTCTATTCGGCTACTGAGCACCCTTAGAAATATTGGAATAGAATTTTCATACGAAATAAACCATACATTTCAACGCAAAGTCTATTTGTTTATTTATTTATATGTTTATTTATTTGAGCATTTATTTTTTCTAGTTTTATTTAATCTTTGATTGTAGTTTTATTTTTAAACTGCCAACTTTATTATATTCCCAAAATTTATTCGCCCACCCCTGAAGGCCAACCCAGCTTATACAATGATTGGTTATTTATTCACGGTAACGTTATAGACAAAAGAATTGTTATGATCAGAGAGCTGAGTACAGTTGAAAATCGTCCAAAAAAATCCTCAAATGGTGTCAAAATAAAGCCTATGATATGCCCGATTTTCGTTGATGTAATTTTATGTTCTCTAACTCGAAACATTTATTTTGGGACGTGCTCATTTAAAGCAGATATGTTTTGAGAGAAAACTGAAAAAAAGCTCTTGCCTAATGAAACTTAATCCAAATTTTTACATTATCTGGACTTCTTCGGGACTCTGGTAGTAATGTTATTTCTAAGAAACGAGTGCACATAGCCTCTTTTTCCCGATTCCTGTGCAATCAGGGACTATAGGCTTTACGTCCGGAAGAATATCTTGAGGAGCGAGTACACGGACTCAGGATTTTTTTAATAATCTTTAAAAAGAATTACTTCGATGCAGTTTTTGTTAGAAAAATTTTCGCGGGCAATAAGCGTGTTTACAGGAGGTTGCCTCAAAAATAAAGTGCCCATATTTGAAGCAATAGCATCTACCATCAGCAGTAGTGTTTAATAACTCCCTTGGAAAATCACCATTACACTCGTATACTAAAATGTTGTGGACCACACCCTCGAGGGCTGCTTGGCTGATAGGTTCGATCTACGTTTAATAAATAAGCCAATTTTAGTTCCTTCGCCTTTTTGGTCAAATGTCAGCAAAATATTCGCCTCGTGTAAGGGAATCCAAGAAAGTCTCAGATTCAGGATTCCACGCCATGGATTCTGCATTCAAAGTAGTGGATTCCGGATTCCTTTTCGGTTTAAGTTAGATTTCGGATTCCAATTGTTAGCGTGATTGCAGACTCCTTGAGCTACATTCCAGATTACAAAGCCCAGGAATGTGGATTTCACAAGAATTCCGCAATGCGGATCACCTTTAGTTACATGGAGCCCGGCAAAGAAGAGAAGAGTGTTTCACCCAGAAGCCACAAACGTAACAGATTGTTTCGACTCCGTTTGACTAGAATCTCACCTTTGCAACACGATGGGTTTCATTGACTGTAAAGCTGCACATATGTAGCTAGTGTCATCGTTGGGGATGACAGTCTAAAAAACAAACAAAAATATATAAATAAACATTAACTAATTATATGTTTGTACACATTGGAATCCTTGGGTTCGCACAGGAGAGAAACAGCACCTTTGTTGCGTTTTGAAATATCAAAGGTTTTGGTATCAGATGGTTAAGTTGGTTCAGGAGATAAACACTCCTTTGTCCCCGGTTACCAGAACTGTGCTGTAGAATTGAATTTTCTGAAGCTGGATCTTCTGGGTGGTAAGTGTAGATCAGTGTTGTTGTCCCTGCCTAAAAACAATAACATTTTCCCAAGCTTTCACCCACTAAATTCAATCACTGACCGGTCCTACTTCATACGCCACTCTGAGCGGGAAGGGGTTGTAAGCCTGGCATAGAGACGCCCAGATGTAGAGGATATTACATGGCCGCGCGGGGATACGAATTTTATCTTCGAGTGCTGAAAGTATCTCTCACTCGTTCGCTTCTCTCACTCGTGAGAGATACTTTCAGCACGAGAAGGTAAAATTCGTGTCCCCAAGCGGCCAATGTAATTTTCTGTTTATTTTATAGATACTGATGAAATTCCTACATAAAACACAACTTTTTGGAACTCGATCTTGTAATTCTTGTAATTGGCTAATCATATTAGTAACGATGGCGACATCAATATCCTCACACTGAAAGATAAAAATAGTATCTTCACTGCGCGCGATGAAGATATGATTTTTTAGTAAAAGGAAAAATCCTGGTATTTCATCAGTATCTATATAATAAATTAAGTTTTTTAAGGCGAATGGAAAATTTGTTGCTACGTTAGTTTCATGGAATAGGGGTGGACGACTGCTGATGTTTCAGACTACTGCTACGTCAGTAGTTAGACTTTTGGGGGTGCTAGGACAGTTTTAAATATTTGGTTTATATATATACTTCTTTATTGGACAAATTAGGATTCAAGGGAATTTTTATGTATTTGGCTGTTATATGCACTTTTTGAATTTGACCTTGGGAATCCGGCTTAAAGAAATGGTGCTTTACTATAGTATGAAGATGCTGCGTTCAAATGAAAATAAAAAGAAAATAATATATAGTAATAGTATGAAGACTAATCGTAATGAACTTATAAGAAGATTATTATCTGGAGTTACGGATGATGAACTTAAAAACTTGGTTAGAGTACGGGAAGAAGCAAGACGCCCTATTCCTGCCCCAAGAAAAATGGGGGTCAAGCAATTAATCCGTTATTTTGAGAATAATAATTTATACAAACCACCAAGACCAATTCTATCTTCCCTAAAAAGTAATCCTATGAAGATGAAGTATTGGGATGAAATTTACCCGGACGATAAAATATATATTAGACCAGAAGATGGTAAAAAATTTAGTATTGTAGATGACATTTATTATGCAGTTTATCCGGTTTACATATTATATGCAGCTTCAGAAGGTGGGGTAATAATTAATGTGAAACATGGGTCACCTATTAGTTGTCGCCAACATCCAGAGACTTATTTTATACTTTGTGGTGTTCGAAATGTAGGTTGTTCTAAGAGACTACAACGACAAGTACATAGATTTGTATATGAGTGTCATAATGGTATTTTACCGAAGGGGAAGATAATTACTCACATAAATGGTAACAAAAAAGATAACCGTTTATGCAATTTACAAATAAATACAAGGAAATTTGGCTGGGAAATTATTAAACAAGCTAAATTGGATATGTTGTATGACAATTAATAATATCTAAGCCCAACCATATCACCATACTGAAATAGTTTGCGACTATATATTATTTTGGTTTTTGAGTCAGGATCTGGCTTATAGTTTTGATATTTATCCTCATTTGTGAATACAATATGAGAATGATTATTGGTTATTTTTTTTAGTCCAAAATCCAACCTGTCTATATTTGCTTTTGCAATCATATCCAATATTTCATCAACTATTGGATTTTTAATTATTTTCTTTTTATAAGTATCTAAAATAGGATCTAAATAAAAGCTCTTACCGCATTTATAATCAGCTTTTTCTATTGCTTGCTCAGGCTCAATGAGTACTGATCCTTTGTATCCTTCACAAGTATGTTTTATGATGCCAGATAGTAGTAACAACCCACGGCATGAAATTCTTGGTTCTTTTAGCTGGTTTAGTTGCTATAATGCTGATTTTAGAGCGGTTTTCGTGTGCTTTTGCGCGACTTTTGACTTAATATTTGAGACAAGGCCCAATTCACTGGTTAATTTTTGTTTACTAAGGCGTACTCTACCATTTGGAGGAATATACATAGATATCAAAGTAGTGCCTACTGATAGAGATTGTTGTTTGTCAAAAAGACGGATAAAATCTTCCATATATATATATATAT